ATTACCTAGTATTCTCCCATCCAAGTCCTGTCCAAGTATACCCTGCTTATTTTTAAGGCCATTTTTCACAGATTTTAATTCTAACCCACTCTGAATTTCCAAATGCACAAATCCCATAAACTACTACAACATCCTCTAGGAGAAATCAATACAGTATTACAATGTTTACACTGCAGCTCACATAAATAAGATGCCAAGCCTGTTTACACTATCCCAGTGACACATGTTGATTCTGTGGATGGGGTGTCACTTGCATTTAGGACTGCTTAATTCATGTCTCAAAGGTCATCTTCAATAAGGATTAACACTTGCACCAAATTGAATTGGTTTAGATTTTTTTTAAAAAAAAAAACCTAAGATTAAAATGTTTTGGCATATTCTCAATCTTTGAATGCTGTGTGTAATGTAATCCTGTATGTGTTTAATCAGAAAGAAAGTGCAATATTGCTCACTGAGATTTCCTCTCACATAAATGTGTAAAGAAAGCACCTACTCATAATTCACCTTTATTACATGACTGCCTGAGACATTGCTACATGATGGATGGACTTTCCAAAAGGAAATAAAATGTTAATTTCACTAATTTTATAACAAGACTTGTTTACATCATTTTGCACTTCTCTTTATGAATTTTACACCTCATAAGAAAATGTCAGTGAATCCAGAAACAGCTTCAATAGATAACTTAATCTACTGTCACTATGGACAAGGAATGTAACATATTGTGTTGGTCATGCCATCTTCTGGGTATTTAATGCCACTTGCAAGAAAAGCAGAATGATTTTTAAAATATTTCTACATATAAGGTAACAACAAAAAGTGGACTATGTTGTACATGAAACATTCCCAACACTATAGGGGGGGGGGGGAATGTGCCTTATAGGAAACAAAGAGAGAGAATCAAAATCTGAACAGCTTCAGCACTGCATTCTTTATACCTCTAGAGGCTCCTGTTAAAAATGGAGCAAGAGTTGGGGGTGTGTTGAGAGTGAAAAATGGCTCCCCAGTGCAGATAACTTAAAAGATGCTGAGACGACTAAATGAAATCTCAGCTGCTCAGCATTCACCCCACCCCAATAAGTCTACAAAACCTCAGATTCCGTATAAATCATACAAGAAGTTTTAAAGGTGACGTTTTAAAACAGGACCTATGGGTTATCCTATTTCAACAGCGCATTGTTCTGCTTAAGCCTCTTTGTGATTCGAGCACAGACGAGCTTTCCTTTCTTCAATACACGAAGAGCTATCAAACGGCTGATTGATAGCGAAGATGCTAGAAACCAAAGCAGAAAGGGGCTTGGGAAGGGGGGAATTACGGAGTGACGGGAGAAATCATCGGCAATGTATTCTGCAAAATCCTCAGCTTTCACGCTTTTAAGTTTGAGCAACTCACTGACGCTATTTGTCTTACGCGCCAAGTGATTTCCCAGGCAACTCATATCATAAAACCACCTTCAAGCTGAAGTTACAGGTATCTGACTCCCAGCGGCCGAAGCCGGAGGGAAATGAATAAGGACGTCTCACAGGGAAGGAGAGAAAGTGCGGGAACGCGCATAGCTACACGCGCGCACCCCCCTCCCACCCACTTTCCTGTCAAGCAGGTTCATGTCACCTCGACGCGCGTTAAGTCACCTCGATGCGCGCAATCGACTGAAGCCCGCGCTGCCGCGCGCGTTTGTATGTAGGGACGCGCGTCCGCGGTTATGTAAGATTTAGACTGGGGAGAAGGAAGGAAAAAAAACCCAAACCCTGAATGGTTCTTTCTTTTTGCTTTAGCGCTGCCTTTCCAAGACATTAAATCAGTAAGAAAATATCCCCACGGCCGCAGCAAAGAAGGTGCTGAAAGGAAGAATGCGGGCAGACGGAAAAGCCCAGTCCCGTTTCGGAGAAAGGCTGCTTTGAACTTAAGGCGCCGGTCTGCTAGAATAAATTAAAAGCCTAACCAAATCCACGGAACTCGCTTGCCTTGGCTGTTTAGCAAAGGAGGCTTTTTTTTTCTCAGGGAGCAAAAAGATCTAAAGCGGCGCGTTTGCACCAGACTCGCTGGCTGAAAACAGCTCGCCTAGAAAATCCAGGTCAAGCTCCCACGCGGGTTTCCGCCGCGCGCAAAGCTGTCACGTCTGCGGCAAATTCGGCTGCGAAAGGCGACTATCCAAGCCGACCGGCCGGTCATCAGGCTGCCGATCCCCAGACGACACTCTCCAAACTTTCGCCTCTCTCTCTCTCTCNTCCAGGAGCAGCTGGAGCATCGCACAGACGCTAGTACGCATGTGTGCACCGCGCGCGTGCACGAGAACGGGGAGAGAAACCCACCCCTGATAATATGTGACTGTAGAGGGTTGCCATCAGTCCTTTAAGATAGATCAGACCAGAAACCAAAGTCATGCAAGCTAATTATACTTTTATTATAAGGTTATTGTGATAGAATATTGAAATTCTGGATGCCTTTTCTTCCAACTTCTTTCCTACCTCCCATCTTCATAAGGAAGAGGCTCTTCTTGTCTGAGATGATTTCTTAAGTTATAATTCTGGACCAGAATATTTTTTAAAAAATCTGACTGCTATTTTGATTGAGATTGTTATATAAATTATAGTGCTGAGAAGGTAAATAAGATGTTTCTCCTCTCTCTCTCCCCCCCCCTCTCCCCCCCTCTCTCTCCATCAGTTTCAGTTTATGGATGATATATTAATGTCTGCTGCTATTTCTTTATTTAATTATCTTATTATTAACATTTGTACAAATATGCTTCTCTGTTGCTTTTGATATGATCACAGCAATAAATAATCAGCCTTATTATGAACTGTTTTTCCACATGAAAGAATCTTGATGCAATTTTATATATGGCAACTGCTTCGTAGTATTTTCAAGTTATCTTGGTAATTTTATCAAACTGCATGATTCAGATTGACAATGCTGTATAAATCATGTTTTCTTTCAAATCCCACTGAATTCCAGGATTCATGTTTCATCCTATAAGATGCTTTAAAAAAACCATAACCAAAGCAAAAGCACTAGTTGAACTTAGACACTGGATACTGCCATTCTTGTTCAGATCAATGTTACAGGAGAGGATAAATTGAAAATCTAAAAAAAAAAAGCTTTGGGAGATGGAATAAACACCATATCCAGATTAAAAGTGTAAGCTAGTTGTGGGGAACAGAATGAAAAAGAAAGTTTTTAGAATTGTTTGAGCAAAGTTCTAATCAGGTAAGTATATATTTATTACATTTCAATTTCAGTTTTGAATGTATGACCACAGCATTGACTAAAACTGCTTAATCCTGCCTTTACTTGGGGAAAAAAAACCAAGAACATTAACCTGTTCTGAGGTTGACACTTAGGACATTTGTTGGTGTCACCTCTACAATTCTGATGATCAATAATACTCCACAATGAACTGTTCCATTTCATCTTCATTTGAGGAAGGCAGCCAATTACATTTCTATGTGCCCCAATCTATCTTTATTACTTAAATGCATGCCATTCCAGCAATATGGCCTCCTTTCACATAAGTCTCTTTCTTCCAGAATTCAGTGAATAGTGCCATGCTTTGTCAATTACTGACTTGTTCCTTTCTCTGCAAACAAGAGCGACTTCCTACTGAATCATAGAAAGGAGTTTCTATAAAAAAAACATCAGCAACAAATACTAAAATATGCACACAAAATATATTCAGAGGCTGCGTTATTCCATTTCCAAATCACAGCCAAGGATCTCTAAAGCCAATCTGCATTTCTTAACTGTGTCCTTGCCAAGACTAAAGTCACTGGAGAATCCTATAACATCTTCCTGTGCTTACTTCTAGTTTTCTGGATTGTGTTGGCTGTTTTCATGCTGTTCATTCTTTTGGGGCTAAATTGAGCACAGGAATTAGGAGACAGCAATCATGGCAATGTACCAGAACATGTGTTGTAACTGTGCCTGAAGTGAAAGGAAAAGAAAAACCTGTTTCTCCAAGGATGGGCAGAACTAGATTGTTAGCAAATTTGCAGAGAGTGATTTATACACTAAGCAAAGTAAAGGCAGACCATTTACTAAATAGCCATTTATATATATATATAATTTGAAAATTATGTTTATCAAAAGAACGAGATTTTTACCCAAATGATTACTGTTAAAGTAGAATTATGTTTTTATAAAAAAAAAAAACTTTAGTTATAAAACAGAATTGTTATTTTTATATATCTCATACATTATTATTATAATTATAATAGTATCCAGAAAGTATAGCAGTGGAAGCAGGGCAAGTCTTTTTCTGTCTGTTCTTGTAAGAGGCTTCTAAAACTCAGTGCTGCCTTCCATTTGTATGTATAATGACATTTCCTTCTCTGTTTTCCCTAAATTTCATAGTGTTTACAAGCAATGCATATTTCACTTTATTAATTTTGAAAAATAAAATCAAAGAAACCAGTTTAAATTACAGCAGTTTAAAGACAATCCAGTTCAAACAAGCATGCTTACATCATGAAACAAACCTGTATATATTTCTAATGCTGCATGTATTTCTAACTACAGGTGATTATGTGTATTTTGGGAAGCCATATTAGAGTTTAAAATTAGGCTAAATAGTCATCATAACTGGGGGATTTCAGAGCAGAATCTCAAAAAAGAAGGAAAATTGTTTGACAGGTTCCCATAAAATGTGCTTTAGTTGCCAAAAAAAGCTCTAGTCTGCATTAATAGAGGGATAGCATCAAGAGCACATTAAATGTTACTACCACTTTATAATGCCTTGGTAAGGCCACACTTGGAATACTGCATCCAGTTTTGGTTGCCACGATGTAAAAAAGCTGTTGAGACTCTAGAAAGAGTGCAGAGAAGAGCAACAAAGATGATTAGGGGACTGGAGGCTAAAACATATGAAGAAAGGTTGCTGGAATTGTGTATTTCTAGTTTAATGAAAAGAAGTTCTAGGGATGACATGATAGCAGTATTCCAATATCTCAGGAGCTGCCACAAAAAAGAGGGAGTCAAGCTATTCTTCAAAGCACCTGAAGCCATGACANTCTGCAGGGAAGTCATGCTGGAGGTTAATATGAATATGGCTGCTTTGGGTAAGGATTCTCTTTGCTCTGGGTTCTGTTGATTAGGAAACGTGTTTTAAGTGGGAATTAAAGAGAGAAGATACATGCACTTGGTTGCATATAGTGGTGAGAACTCTAATGACTACCACCTGTTAAATCTTTCCTATTCTCAGGAAAATCAGAATCACAATGTAGAAGGTAAAGGTTCCCCTCGCACATATGTGCTAGTTGTTCTCAACTGTAGCGGTGCTCATCTCCGTTTAAAAACCGAAGAGCCAGCACTGTCCGAATACGTCTCCATGGTCATGAGGCCGGTATGACTAAACGGCAAAGGCTCATAGAACACTGTTACCTTCCCATCAAAGTGGTCCCTATTTTTCTACTGCCATTTTTACATGCTTTCGAACTGCTAGGTTGACAGAAGCTGGGACAAATTACGGGAGTTCACTCCCTTACACGGCACTAGGGATTCAAAGTGCCGACTTTTCTGATTGACAAGCTCAGCGTCTTCGCCACTGAGCCACTGCGTCCCACTCACAGTGTATAGTATGTGGCTAATATCCAGTGGACACCCACATGTGCAAAAGTCTCATACACTTCCCTTTGCTTCCTTTTAACTGCCAGGGGCTCTGGATTATAAACCAGCCGAGCCACTACATAGTAATTTTGTCCAAAGTTGTCCTCACAGCCACGCTTTTACAAAAAACAAGGGCCTTTTCAGAAATGTCCACCATACCATTGTGAAAGGCCTTAGATGCAAATGCTTGAGCAGATTGACCGAACAACATTGTAAAGCCTTCAATGGGTCAATGCTGACAAAACTCTTGGATATCATTAAGAGTGTCCTACATAACATTTTCAACCCAACATCTCCTGGTTTGACAATTTGTTGTTACCAATGCTGATGTCAGATGGGCATATTTCTCACTGGGAGATACACCTCCCCACCCAGCTGTCTTTTTAAATTCTAATGAGAATTTCTGCCTTTTTCCCCCAAAACAGGTGGTGGTAATGGGCTGGAGAATGAGAAGCAGCGGAGGTTATTTAAACCACAATATGCAGTGTCTTCAAAGAGCCAAAGTGAATTCTGTACAAGTTGTAATCTGATGCACCATCAGAAGATCCCCTCAAATGACAAAACATATAGTTGCATGGAGTTTGGAAAGATATTCAGTGAGAGTAGTGATATTAATTGCCATCAAAGGATTGACACAGAGGACAGACCATATAAATGCATGGAGTGTGGAAAGAGCTTTATTGACAAATGGCACCTTACTTTCCACCTAAGGATGCATGAAGCGGAAAGACCATATAAATGCATGGAGTGTGGAAAAGCATTTGCTCAGAAAGGTGATCTTATTAATCATGAAAGAATCCACACAGGGGAAAAACCATTTCAATGTACAGAATGTGGAAAGAGCTTTGCTCGGAAAGGACAGCTTAAATCTCATAACAAAATCCACACTGGGGACAGACCATATAAATGCATGGAGTTTGGAAAGAGATTCACTGAAAATAGTGACATTAATTGCCATCAAAGGATTGATATAGAGGACAAACCATATAAATGCATGGAGTGTGGAAAGAGCTTTATTGACAAATGGCACCTTACTTTCCACCTAAGGATGCACGAAGCGGAAAGACCATATAAATGCATACAGTGTGGAAAAACGTTTACTCACAAAAGTAGGCTTATTATTCATGAAAGAATTCACACAGGGGAAAAACCATTTCAATGTACAGAATGTGGAAAGAGCTTTGCTTGGAAAGGACAGCTTACTCATCATGAAAGAATCCATACAGGGGAGAAACCATATCAGTGTATAACATGTGGAAAGAACTATGCTCACAAAGGACAACTGAATTCTCATGAGAGAATCCACACAGGGCAGAGACCATATAAATGCATGTAGTGTAGAGAAAGCTCCAACAATTTCAATAGAATAGAATAGGGCTAGAAGGAATCTTGGAGGTCTTCAAGTCTAATACCCTGCTCCAGCAGGAGATTGTCATGGTTCCAAGTAACATCCCCAACAGAATAAAAACAGGCATTTACAATACATTTACTCATGAAGGAAGTGGGGATAATCCATATGAATGCATGGAGTGTGGAAAGAGCCTTGCTTGGAAAGGATAACATAAATCTCATAAATTATGCCCATAGAAGAAACCATATAAATCTATGTAATTAGCCAATCATCAAAGAATCCAGAAATGAGAAGTAAGATTGCCTAGAACATGCAAAGTTCTTTGTTTGATCTGGAATGTTATTCATGATCCTGTGCGGATTCTCTGATTCCCAAGGAGTGGTCACAACACAACATTAGCAAATCTGTACAGTGTACTTCATTGTGTCACATGCCTTCCCCCCCACAAGAGGTTATTGCTCTTAACTCTACCCTTCTGAACCTTGCAAGCTGATATTGCAACACAAATACATCTTTAATATTTAGTCCTTAACTGGAATAAAAACTTTGAATATTTAAAGTGTTACACAACCTTTGCTTCCTTCCAAATATTCTTGCATTGAGGGACTGCCTCAGTGCATTTGCTGCATTTCTCTTGGCCAATTTCCAAGCCCTTCTTTTAAGCAGTGTTGCCAAACTGAGTTGCCAGGTCAATCTCCAGGCAGGAGTCCCATCAGAATATGATGCTTGCTATACTTTGTAGTACTGGCGGTTGATTGCTTGTTTGTATTACTTGCTTGTATTGCTTGTCAGTCACCAGATATGGCCTCCTACTTCACCACCTTTTTGCCCTTTTCTCTTACACCCTTACACAAGCTCTTTGCTCTTTCGTAGCCTTTGTTTCTGTAAACTAAGGGCCTTGATGAGATGAGGTTGCTTCTGGATTTTCACAAATTGTTGAAACATCAGCTGGGGCTCAGTTAGCCATGCAACTGGATGCCCAGCGTGGCTCCTTGGAAGTAAACTGAGTGAGTGAAGGCATGAGGCCATCTCAGATTTCTCATGGGGAAGAGGGGTGTCCTGGCTGCAACTGTTTTTCCAAAGCACAGACAGCAATTGTAGCTTTGCATCCTCAAACATCCATGCAGGAGAAAAAGTATAAGCACCCAAATATAGAAAGAGCTGAAAGTAGAGCTGTGGCGTGACTATTGATGGGATAACCCATACAGGAGTATTGTCATACAAACACATGGATAAATTTCATATTGGGTACTTTGAAGAAAGTTGTCTCATTCTGTAGAAAACCCATCCCTCTCCTGGGTAGCTGTGTGGCTGGTCCTCCCGAGTCTCTCCCCAAGACTTGAAAACTGTTGAAAAGTCCCTGCGAGTAAGGGCGCGAAAGAAGATTCCCGCGGTGAGGAACGTGATAAGACCCTCCGAAGGGTGCGAAACGAGTCCCTGCGAAGGGCGAGAAAAAGTCCCTTTAAAAGGGCGTGAAAAGATCCTCTAAGGACACGAATTTGAAGCGGGTAATATGAAGCAGCACACCCGGATAGGAGAAAGTGAGCCCCACATCTGAGCGGGATCATGGGAAGCGGTAGCTCACAGGCGGCCACGGAAACCCCCTTAGGGGAGCTGTTGGGGGCCTGGGACGAAAAGCAGATGCCTGTCCTGGCCAGAATGAAAAAAAAAAAAAGGAAAGCAAAACAGATATGTAGAGAAATGGGCTTTGCTGAAAGATAATACAGGAAAACTAATTTGGCTACATAAAGGTACTTAAAGGAAAAGGGAAAATGTTGGGGTCTCTTTCTTTCTCTTGTCTGTTTGTTTCTTTCTCTGTCTTCTCTGCAACCACGTGGTTTGTTTGTTGAGATTGTGCCTTCCCTAATTTAAGAGATTTGTGCTGGGAATGACTAGGATGTGTAAACCTGAGAGTTCTCTCTCCCCCCCCCCCCCTCTGCGAGGTGGCGCAGTGGTTAAATGCAGCACTGCAGGCTACTTCAGCTGACTGCAGTTCTGCAGTTCGGCTGCTCTAATCTCACCGGCTCAGGGTTGACTCAGCCTTCCATCCTTCCGAGGTGGGTAAAATGAGGACCCGGATTGTTGTTGGGGGCGATATGCTGACTCTGTAAACCGCTTAGAGAGGGCTGAAAGCCCTATGAAGCGGTATATAAGTCTAACTGCTATTGCTATTGCTATTTTCTCCTTGTCCTTGTGTATATGTGTGTCTAAGTCTTTGTGCACCCTCAAGGTAATTGTAACGATGTCTCCAATCCAAAAGACAACAATTTTAAATTGTTCAATGAAAGAAAAGAGTAAACTGGCAGAAATTCCCTTCACTCAGTTGGTTGGGCCCAGAAAACTGAGTGAAGGGGGAGGGGAGTCTTTACTTTGTGTTTGTTTGGCGAACAGAAACAGAGTAAAGAGAAATATTTTTTTTCCTTCCTTCCTTCCCTATACCTTGAAGTAACAACCCAGGAAATGTTTTAAGTTCATTTACAAGAAAAGTTTCATCCTTGCAGTTATTGTGTGTTTAAATGATTTTACCTGTTCATTTCTTTCCTGAAGCATGTGAATCCAGACCCTTCAGGAGTCTGGAAGAGTTCTGCCCTTCAGCTCCAGAGTGATGGGATTAAGGCATGATAATATTGTCCCTTTATACAGAAGCTGTCAAGCAGGGCAGCCAATGGGAGTGCTTCTGGCAGCCCGCGCTCAGCCAGCCGCGCTTTAGCCAATCAGGTGCAGCTAGGCTGTTGCCGGCTGCCAGTCATAGCTCGAGGACTTTAGGACCTGTCGCAAGTCGAGGATTTTGGAAGCTATAGCTGTATAGACGCTATAGCCAAGAGCCCTAAAGGATGGGGCAGGATTTATAGTGTTTTGGCTCTCTAGGAAGCAGCACTCTCTGGTTGAGAGAGAGCCTGAGAGGCCAGCTGAGTGCCAGAAGTTTTGGCGGGAACGGTTTTCAGTTGCTCTGCTGAAGCGCAAAAGCCCTGAGGGAGCGGAGTCCCCCCTTCTCCTCCTTTGAAACCGGGAAAGGGGCGGGGAGTGTCTGCTGTGACCGAAGGCAGCCTCAGAGGGAGGACCTGTTAACCAAGGCGGATGTTGGAAAGTTATTTTTCTTCCAGATAATATTTTTGGCCAGAAGAAGGAAACAATTATTTTTACATAGATATTTCACACAGCTGCAAATTAGTACAAAGAATTAACAGAGAAGTATACAAAATTATGAAATAAAAGATGAAAGTGTTTATACATTATATTTTCCTGTCATTTAATTCTAGCCAAATATATCTGATTATGTGAGCTTCCTCTGGTATAGGGCCAGTGCAGGTATTAGGACCTCACTCCACAAAATGGTCCCTGGTGCCCAAAAGACGGGGGGGGGGGGGGGGCTTGTCTACAGTACATACTGCATAATGCTACACTTAATAAACACAATGGAATATTTTGGCTTTAATATGCCTTCTTCACAGTAGTGAGGAAAAGCAACAGATTGACATTTCTTTACATTTTAGGCACATCTCCACAATTTGCTGCCCTAATTCCCCTATGTTTCTCATTTATTACCTAAGAACATCAAATTGTGACCTGTCAGTTTTTATCAATCATGTCACAGAATATTATTGTAAAAAGCAGTTTAGGGAATGGTCTGCCTGTGGGCAGTTTTGAGTTATTGAAGTTCCTGTCATAATTTTAATTACTGTTACTGAGCCAAGCTGAGCTGTTAATGAGCCGAAGTGGCGCAGTGGTTAGGGTGCAGTACTGCAGGCCACTTTAGCTGACTGTGATCTGTAGTTCAGCTGTTCAAATCTCACCGGCTCAAGGTCGACTCAGCCTTCCATCCTTCCGAGGTGGGTGAAATAAGGACCGTGGGGGCAAGTTTCTGACTCAATTTGCTAAAAAA